TTTCCATTAATATGATACAAATTATTTAAAAAATACATCAATTTATTTAAAATATTTATTATAAAAAAGTAGGGTTATTTATCCGAAAATATTGGATCATACAGGTGGCAATCATGCACACCCACCATCTCACTTATATTAAACATTTTTTTCCTTCTTATCATTCTAGTTGGAGTTATCTCAAGAAAACAACATTAAAAAATCCAATTACTCAAATCAATCTAATATTAAAAATATTAAAAAATTCAATTACTCAAATCAATCTAATATTAAAAATTTTCCTAAATAAATTTGTATCAGTATTCAAAAATAATTTAAAATAGAGATTATATATATATATAACTTAATTTATAATTTAATCTAAATTTTAAATATGATTATAATTAAAAAAAATGTGAACGTTTTGTTGGCTCGTGTCTTATACTAATTTCCGTTTCTGTTTTGTTACAACCTTTAAGGGATGTTAGGTCTTACTAAGGTCTCGATCAATCAAGTTGAACTTTTTTTTTTTAATAGTCTCCAAGTATGGAAAGTTATTCGTGGATTATGAAATTACATTTACGATATGAAATGGACCACGATAAAATGAAAAGCTATTCGTGGACAATGAATATGGACAGGTACGAGTTGTTTCAGCTGGAAAGTTACACATGATTATGAAAAGCTACTCGTGGACAATAAATATGGTAATGGGTAGTTATTATGAAAAGCTACTAGTGTGAGTATGGAACGTTAGTTGTTTTAGTGGGATTGGGAATATGTCAAATTGTATCCTCTCATGTTAACTTTAAAAACATTAAAAAATTCTTCCCATGACCGCAATAAGCTCAATAGTATCAACTAAGAGGGATCGACTCTCCATGGATGATGTGCCTATTAGAATCATGAATAATAACTCTAATTATGAATAATACGTCAGAAAAATATTGATGTTCAACCTATTTATAATTTCAATCTTAATTTTAATATATACATATTAATATATATACCATATATGAATTTTTATTACTAGTACAAATTATTAAAAAAATTATTTTATAGATCCCATATATAATTAAAAAAAATATTTAAATTTTTTTAAGTGTATATTTAAATTCTGAATTCAGTACAAACTTAATATAATAACAAACCGAAGCCATCTATATATATATTTTTATATAATTTTAATATCAAATTTTTTTTCCTTCCTATTGTTGTAGTGGCAACTTCTATTTCCATAAAACGATAATAATCGAAATAGTAAAAATGTAACTTTAAAAACACTTAAAAAAATTCGTCATAGATGACCATGACCTTAATAAGCTCAATAGAATCAATTCAGAGAGATCCATATAGCATAATGTGATGTTAGAATCATGAATAATAATTTTGAATAAAAAATATAACATGATGTCAAACATCATTTTTAAAAATTCAAATTTTTAATATATATACAAAAAAAAAAAAAAAAAAAAAAATTATAATTTTGAATAAAAAATATAACATGATGTCAAACATCATCTTTAAAAATTTAAATTTCTAACATGTATACAAAAATTATAAGATGCTTTTCAATCTTAATTTTAATAATTATTAAAAAATATATTAAGTTATTTTATAAATCCTATTTATTATTAAAATATATTTAAATTTTATTATTAAAAAATAATTGAGATTTGTTAAGTGTTAAATACTAACTTCACAGTTAATAGAATAACAAGTAGCAATCATGCCTCAAACTTACTTTTATCTCTGTATTTTTTTTTTGTCTTGTATATGTAATTTTTTAATATCATTTTTTTTCTTTCTTCCAGTGGTGATTTCTAAAAAAAATCACAATAATTCATAAAACACATCATTGAATTAGTAAAATCAATCTTGGAATTTTTATGAGTATTAAAAATAATTTAAAAATTATTAAGATTATTTTTTTAGTATAGACACTTAATTTATAATTTAATAAAAATTAATCTAAATAATAATAATAATAATAATATATATATATATATATATATATATATATATATATATATTTATTTATTTATTTATTTATTTATTGCCGTTCATATTTGATTTCCCTTATTAATATAAAAAAAATACATTAATTTATTTTATAGTATTTATTATAAAAAAAAATATTGAATTTTTTTTTATAAGAATATACAAATATCTAATTCAGTATAGTCAAACCAACAATCATACTATCAACTCACTTCTTTATCACTATATTTTTGTTTTTTATATATATATTTGTAATATCAAACATTCTTTTCTTCTTCTTTCATTTTTTAATATCAAACATTTTTTTTCTTTTTCTTGTCGTTCCAGCCGCAAATTCAATCTCCAGAAGAACGACATTAATCAAATTAGTAAAATCCATCCAAAATAAAAAATAATTTAAAACTTTTAAATTATAGAATATATATATATATTTTTTAATATTTTAGCTATAAAACTTAATTTATAATTTAATCAAAATTAATTTAAATTTTAAAGATGATAATAATTAAAAAAAATGTGAACATTATAAGTTTTGTTAGCATGTGTTATAGTTATTTTGGTTTCGGTTTTGTTAGAACGTTGGAGAGAAGTTAGGTAAAGTTATTTTTTTTAATAGTTTTAAGTATGGAAAGTTATTCGTGACAATTAAATTAAATTTACTATATGAAATGGACCACGATATAAAGAAAAGCTACTCGTGGACCATGAATATGGAAAACTACTAGTTGTTTAAGTTGGAAAGCTACACGTAACTATAAAAAGCTACTCGTGGACAATGAAAATGGAAAGCTACAAGCTGTTTCAGCTGAAAAGTTACATATGGGCAGTGATTATGAAAAGCTACTCGTGGACGTGAGTATAGAAAGCTACCTGTTGTTTGAATGAGATTGGAAAAATGTCAAAGTTGTTTCAGCTGGTTAAGATGTAACTTTAAAAACACTAAAAAAATTCTTCGTAGATGTCCACGACCTCAATAAGTTTAATAGAAACTAAGAGAGATCACATTACGAATGACTGTTAGAATTATGATGATCACCAAAATTCAAATTTCAACGTTTTCACAAAAATTATAAATTAGTTTTCCATCTCAATTTTAATATATATTTCATATTTGATGAATTTCAATTACTAATATAGTATAAACTATCAAGTTATTTTATAGATCTCATTTATTATTAAAATAATATTGAAATTTTTTAAATATTTGCAAATATCTTAATTTTGAATTTTGCACTATCTTAATAGAATAATAAATAGGTGGCATTCCTATCAAATTCACTATTATCTTTATATCTCTATCTATATATATTTCTTATATATTTTTTTAACATCAATTTTTTTTGGTGGTTCTAGTGTCCATATCTAAAAAATAATAATTAAAAAAATGACATAATTGAATTAGTAAAATCCAGTAAATTTATATAAATATTAAAAATAATTTAAAACTTGGAGATTATTATTATTATTATTATTTTAGCCTAGAGACTTAATTTATAATTTAATAAAAATTAATCTAAATATCTATATATATAGCAATTCATATTTAATTTTCATTACTAGTATAAATTATTAAAAAAAAAATATTAACTTATTTTAGAGCCTTTATTATTAAAAAATATTGAAATATTTTTTAAGTATACACAATATCTGAATTTAGTATAGTTTTAATAGAATAACAAAACATGAGACAGTCATGCATCAACTCACTTTTTATCCCTATATTTTTTTTGTTTTTTATATACTTTTTCTTCTCCCTCTCCGTCGAATGAGTGAAAGAAGGTGAATGAGTTTACTGTTCCTAAATAAATAGGATCCGGAGGAGAAGGAGTCTTTCATTCAATAGCTCAGGGAATGAAGTAGCTCATTCATCGGAAAGGGAAGAAACTGCTTTAATAGGAGTAAGTAGCTCTCCCGGAAAGCAGCTAAGCTAATTCATTGAGGATTGACTGACGAATTACCTCTAGCCAAAAATATCCCACAAAAAAATAGGGTAAGTGGCAAGTTTGATATTTAAAAAAAGACAATAATCAAATTAGTAAATATTTCAATTTAAAAATACTAAAAGTTTTTTCAATTTAAAAAATACTAAAAGTTTTTCATAGATGGTCATAATAAATTCAAATTAACTAAAAGAGATAGACTCTCCACATATATCATAACTCCGTTCTACGAAAAGTCGGGGGCCTGAGAGGCGGTGGTTTACCCTGTGGCGGATGTCTGTGATATTTCGGCTTGAAACGCCTTTTATTTGGCCATTTTCTGGATCTCAAAATAACAGGTCAAGTCAAACAATGACACGGGGTATTTTGAATGATTTGAATAAGAGACCATAGTTAATATAATAACTACTCTTTATTAATTTATTAAAAATAGTAAATTAGTTTTAATATAATAACGGATTCGAAATTGTATCCAAGCATCGCCCATAACATAATTTTTAAAAATTCAAATTTCAATCTTAGGAAAAAAAACATTTAACAAAATTATAAGTTAGTTTTGACTCTTAATATTAATTTATATATATATATATTTTTGATTTCGATTAACGTAGTACAAATTATTTTAAAAAATACATTATTATTAAAAAGTATGGTTTATTTTTTAAGTGCCATAACATATCTCAATTAAGAATAGTGATAACGGAATAACAAACAGGTGACAGTCATACCTACTCGCCTTTTATCTTTCTATATATATTTTTTTGTTTCTTATTATATATATTTTAGTATTAAAACATTTTCTTTTCTCCGGTCATTCTAGTGGCTTGGATCTAAAAATGATAAGAATGGAATTAATAAAATCAATCTAAAATCAAAATTTCTCTCAAATAAATTTGTAACAGTAATAAAAATAATTTAAATTATAGAGTTTTTTTTTAAAAAAAAAAATTTAAATTTAACTTCATTTATAATTTAATCAAAATTAATCAAGTGTAAAGATGATTTTTTTTTTTTTAATTTCTAATTTACGGTAAATTCTGGGCAATTTTGAATTTTCACCTGAAAACAATTTGGAAAGGGAAATTGTGAAGTTTTGAGAGGAGCCGAAATCTGATCCCTGCTTCGAAGCAAATCGGGACGGTCTCTTCGATTGATTCCGCGAACATTTTTTTTTTGTCGTTGTATAGTTCTTGTTGAAAACCCTAATTTGTTTCGTCGATTGGCTCTGCAATTAGGGTTTTGCGTCACGTTAATGGCGGAAACTGCCAGTAGTAGAGAGGAGACTGCATTCGATGCGAAGCGCAAACCTGCTGATCCCTGCTGCGAAGCGAAAGAGGAGCGTTCGAACAAGATTCAGAAGCTTGAAGTGGTTGAGGGCGAACCCTGTAATGATGTAAAGAAGAATGGTGACAATGGAGACCATAAGCAAGGTGATGAACAGATTGATAGCATTTCTTCGGCTGCGGAAGGGAAAGATGATGGAGTTTTTGCAGCTGATGTAGATGCGGGGAACGAGGGAGAGGATTACAATGATGAGGACGACTGTGAGAACGGTGAAAAGTCGAGTGGGAAAGCGGCTAAGGATCGTAAGGGGAAGGGTATCATGAAGGATGACAAAGGAAAAGGGAAATTGATAGAGGAAGACGACGACGACGATGACGACGATGAAGATTCCAGTGATGATGGAAGCGAATTTGACAATGAAGAAAGCGATTTGTCGGATGATCCACTTGCGGAGGTCGATCTGGACAACATCCTTCCTTCTAGGACGCGGAGGCGAACGGTTCACCCTGGAGTTTATTTTGCTACGGATCTTGGGAACGAAGACGATGATAGCAGCGATAGCGATGCTTGAAACGCGAAAGGTCAGTAAACTCGGCAATCGAACCTTGAGTTAGTAGAAGTTATGTGAATCCATATTACTCAGTTTTTATCTCCTTTAGGGATCATGTAGCAATGTAATGAGTTCCCCCATACAATTTGATTTTGAAGGTTACATATTTTCTTGATTTTCCACTTTGATATCCGAAGCATCAAGCATTTCTTGCATCAGCTTTCTTTCATATGCCTTTTCTGAACCATGTAGAAGCAGTATTAAGCCATTCTTTGTAGGGGGATTGAACTCATCACTCTTAATTGGAAGCCATAATTTTACCCACTAAAGCTAAATCAATGGATATTGAGGAAGTTTGTAACATTTGATTCTTCTCCTATTGGAAAGCAGTTTCTTGAAGATTCACTTGATGACAATAATTTGCTAATCTATGAGGGAGAAATTCTGTTCAATGAAAGAGTTATTCTTTACAAATCTTTTCACATTCTTGAGATCTTCTTCTCTCAAAGATTGCAGTCATGCAAATTCCTCGACTCACTTGATGACAATAACTTGCTAATCTGTTCAACGAAAGCATTGTTTTTTTACTTATCTTTTCACATTCTTCGTCTTTACTTTGAATGTGTTTCCTTTTTCTTTTTCTCCTCTTTTTTCATGTAAGATATCTGTGTACTACAGTAGAAGGGCTAGTTATGGTGTTTATGTTGGATGTTTTCTTAGTGCTTATTTGTGCGTTTGAATGTGTATGTGATTGTGTGAGTCTTCTGTCATATTGGTTGAGCTTGTTTATTTGAGGAATCTTTATCTGTGGTATACTGTAGAGATGCTGGTATGATATGATTTTTCCTTGTGCTGATGCTGATGTAACTGCTTTCATACTTTTCCTCTCATTTTTTTGTGTATATATATAACATACACAAACTGGTTAGAGGGAGGGTAGGGGTGGAAGTTAAGAAACAATGTACTGATTTCCATCCTAAGAAAAGAAACAAACAATGTTGTAACAGTCCAAGCCCACCGCTAGCCGATACTGTCTTCTTTGGGCTTTCTTTTTGGCTTCCCTTCAATATTTTAAAAACGTGTATGCTAGGGAGAAGTTTCTATACCTTTATAAAGAATGTTTTGTTCTTCTCTCCAACCGATGTGGGATCTCACAATCCTAAAGTTGTGCCAAAGAGGAGGAATTTGATATTGTATCAAATCCAAAAGCCAAGGGGGAGGGAGATCATAAAAGATTCTTCAATTGGTATAATCAGAAAAGACACAAAATCTTCAACCATATTGAACAAACTCCAAAGTCCAAAGTCCAAACATTTCAGCCCTCGAAGTTATCACTTGGTAAAGTGGCTTCGCTGTTCGAAAGACACTTTATCTCTTAACCTGAAACAACTTAGGCTACCCCACCCTAGCGATGGGTTAGTTTTGAAAGAATTTAGGTATAGAACTCAATTCGGATGCTAGTTAATAAGTGTGATAAAATGTTTGTGGTTTTCTTCTTATAGAACTTTTCAAAGTAGTCTTTTAAGGCGACTTCCCTCTTCAATAGCCACGCACCCCTTCTCCGAAAACGACTTGTGCTATCTCTTCCCAAGTGTAAGGGTGGGGTACTTTGGATAGAATACAAGCATAAAACTCGAATTAATGCTGGTTTGTTGTTAGGGTAAAAGAATTATTTGGTTCTCTTTTCACATTTCTTTTAAAGGTTGTAACCATGTCTTTGCCACCTAAACATTGCTTTTCAAAGACCCAGATTCTTATCTTGGAGATCGCATGAGTACATGTGTCACAGAGAGCTTGAGAAGGTATCTTTCTTAGGCATGGAACCAAGGCTGGTAAAATCTCTCAGTAGCACAGGAAGTTACTCAGAAGTAAATGTGCGAGGAAAGAATGTCTTTAACTATTGAAGAAAATGTTGTAGGAAAGAATGTCTTTAACTATTGAGTTATGTTATGTTTAATTAGGTGCTTTGTATTGGTAATGTTCCACAGAACATTTGGTTTTAGCATCGTCACTATTTAGCTGTTGATTGATTGTGTTTTGTGATTTAGAGAAATAAGAGAATCTTTTATATAAGTTTAATGATTTGGAGTCAAGGAAGTTGGTGACCTGATGACAGGGGAGCCAGCGACCAAAGCCCCGGTGAACGGCGACCGGCGACTGTAACTATATTTTATTATTTAATCAATAATTTTTAAAAATTTATATATATACACACCATTTATGTATATTTTGTACATACCAATATTAATATTGTAAAATGAGCCTGTAGATGGCTTCACTCTTCGAGAGACGCTCACTCTTTTGCTAGAAATGATTTTGTGTTATCCCACCCAAAAAAGCTGCCCGAGATTTTGAAAGAATTGAAAAAAGATGCTACATCTAATGTAATCGTCTTGGAAAATGGATTAGGTGGATTTCTTGGCGTACAAAATGTCAAACTAATCTTTAAGGTGACTTCATTGTTCATTCAAGTTAATGAGAGGTAGTTTTGAAAGAACCCGGACACAATGTTGTCATTATGATATTATTATCATAGAACAATTGTGTGGATTTCTTATCACAATTCAAAAATTACTCATCCATTATCTTTAAATCGTCTTTTGCTATTTTGAAACTAAAATTCTATTTAGACCCTCCTAAAAACAATTTCTAACTAAAAGAGTGACTTAAAAGAGTGACTTAAATTATAATTAAATACATAGCTAAAAAAAAAAAATTAAGTTTCGCATGCAATATTATTCGTTTATCTTTATTTTCATGGTTTAAATTTCAATTAAATTAAATAATTTTTTTAAAAGAATCGATAGTGTTCCATATCACATAATTTCATACATATAAGGTAAATATGTTAAAATAAGTCAACGTTCTAATAGAAAAATAAAAGAAAATATTAATTATTTTTTAATAATATTTTCGTAAAATAAAAAGAACACTCTAGCTCCCCACCGACCCCACCCATTCATTACACTCTCACTCCCACTCTCACCTAGACTTCTTCCTCTCCGTGCTTGACGCTGTTGTCGGGCCGCCGCCTCTCCCCGTTCAGTGCCGCCGCCGCCTCTCTCCCACTTTGTCCCGCCGCCGCTGCCTCTCTACCAGTACGTCTTTCTTCACAGCAACTCAAATTAGCATTTGTGTAACGAAAGAAACAGGGAGTTGCTTTACTTAACAGAACAATCTCAGCTTATCAATGACTGTAGATTATAATCGGGTTTTAATGTTCATTGATTCTGGTTTACTGTCCCATACCCATATCATCGATTCAGTATTTTCTTCTCTCTCTTTTTTCTTGCTCTATCACAAATTGAGTCCACAAAACCCTCTTCTGCAATTCCCGTTTGCTGTTTCTTGAACTTATCCTCCTCAGATTCTTGCTTCTTCCACTTGTTCTTGCTCTTCTTTATCGCACTCTTAATTTCTTTAATCGTCGATGAATTCAAATGGGGTTTCCTTCAGGTATAGGGAGCCACTATGTTCTTCCACATAGTTTTGCAGAGGAACATGCAGCTGCATCCACGGCACTTTGGCCGTAATCTCCGTGAGAATCTGGTGTCAAAACTCATGAAAGATGTTGAGGGTACTTGCAGGTTTGTTATCTTTACCCCCACCGCGTGTATGATGCTAGAACATTGCTGTTGGTGTTGTTTTCTTTTTTGTTAAATTTACCTTTTCCATAAGACCCTGTGTGAGATCCCACCAAACATGCTTTATAAGGGTGTGTAAACCTCTTCCCAGCAGTCGCATTTTAAAAACCTCGGGGAAGCCCGAGTGGGGAAGTCCTAAGAGGACAATATCGACTTGCGGTGGGGTGGGGCGGTTACACCTTACTTCACAACTAAGTATCCAAAAAGCATTCACGATTTGAACTAGTTTAGCTAGGCAAGATGGTTGTGTAGTTTCTTGTAGGAAAACCTCCCTGGTAAGTCTCATTTTGTGAGATCCCACGTCGGTTGGAGGGAGGAACGAAACATTCATTATAAGGGTGTGGAAACCTCTTCCTAGCAGACGCGTTTTAAAAACCTTGGGGGGAAACCCGTAAGGGAAAGCTCAAATAGGACAATATCTGTTAGCGGTGGGCTTGGGCTGTTACAAATGGTATCAAAGCCAGACACCGGATAGTGTGCCAGTGAGGATGTTAGGACCCTAAGGGGGTGGATTGTGAGCGATCCCACATTGGTTGGAGAGGGGAACGGAGCATCCCATATAAGGGTGTGGAGGTTACTTCTACCTAGCATATGCGTTTTAAAACCTCGAGGGAAAGCCTAGAAGGAAAGCCCAAAGAGGACAATATCTGCTAGCGATGGAGTTGGACTGTTACAAATGGTATAAGAGCCAGACACTGGGCTGTGTGCCAGCGAGGTTGCTGGATCCTAAAGGGGGGTGGATTGTGAGATTTCACATCAATTGGGGAGGAGAACGAAATATTCTTTATAAGGGTGTGGAGTTTTAAAAACTTTGAGGAGAAGCCCGGAAGAGAAACCCTAAAAAAGACAATATCTTCTCACAGTGGACTTGGGCTGTTGCAAATGGTATCAGAGCCAGACACCAGACGGTGTGCCAGCGAGGACACTGGGCCCCTAAGGGGGTGGATTGTGAGATCCCACATCGGTTGGAGAGGAGAACAAAACATCCCTTGCAAAGGTGTGTAAATCTCTCCCTAGCAAACGTGTTTTAAAACTTGAGGGAAAATCTAAAAGGAAAAGCCGAAAGAGGACAATATCTGCTAGTTATGGGCTTGGACGGTTACAACATGTCAGTTCATCAACCGACAAAAGCCAATAAAAACTGTAAAACTATTTGGTGGATGATATTGTTCTTTTAAAATGTTCAATACTTCTTTCAACTAGTGAACAATTAGATGGATTTTGTTATCGAAAAGTTTTGTACTTCGACAGTGGTCGACATGGTTTCATAGTAGCAATTACGGGAATTGAGAACATTGGTAAAGGATTGATTAGCGATGGGACAGGTTTCGTCACTTTTCCCGTTAAATACCAATGCGTCGTGTTTCGACCATTCAAGGGAGAAATCTTAGAAGCAATTGTTACTATGGTAAACAAGGTATCTATCTGGCACCATGGCACCCTTTTTTGATATCTAGCATGTGATTAATGAAGTTCTTTTGAATAGTAAATATGAATATGACTTCCATTGCAACTATTGTAGATGGGTTTCTTTGCTGAAGCTGGACCTGTTCAGATTTTTGTTTCAAACCATGTAAGTATATGTTTATAACCCATTTCCCTATATCTTTTCAAAATAATGGCATAAAATCTATGAAATTCTGAGATCCGTTGGTTGGGGAGGAGAATGAAACCTTGTTAGTAGACAGGTTTTAGAAATCTTGAGGGGTAGCTCGAAAGGGGAAGTCCAAAGAGGACAATATATGCTAGCGGTGGGCTTTGGCAGTTACAAATGGTATCAGAGTCAGACATTGGATGATGTGCTAGCGAAGAGGTTGAGCCCCGAAGGGAGGTGGACACGAGGTGGTTTGCCAACAAGGACGTTGGGCCCTGAAGGGGGTAGATTGGGGGGTTCCACATCCATTAGAGAAGGGAACAAGTGCCAGTGAGGACGCTGGACCCCGAAGGGGGTGGATTGTGAGATCTCACATCGATTGGGGAGGAGAACGAAACATTCTTTATAAGAGTGTAGAAACCTTTTCCTAACAGACACGTTTTAAAAACCTTGAGGGGAAGCTTGAAAGGGAAAGCCCAAAGAGAACAATATTTGCTATCGGTGGGCTTGGGTTTGGGCTGTTATAGGAATAGGACGGTAGTGAGGCTCGGAGAGGTTCGTTGTGCCAATTGAACTTTTGTTACGATGTCAACAATGTCGTGCAATGTGTATTTTGGAGATATATTCAGAAATTCATTAGGAATGTCGTCACGGACTTCAGTTCTTGTGTTCGTTGTGTAGCGAAGTATTTAAGCAAGCTAACACTAACGCTTTCTCTCATCACGTGTTTCAGTTGATACCAGATGATATGGAGTTTCAGTCTGGAGATATGCCAAACTATACCACTTCGGATGGATCAGTATATCTCTATTTGACGTGCATTCTCTAACATAACGCTCTCTTGTCATGTTTTTACTGATTTATTTCTGCTCTCGTGTAGGTTAAGATTCAGAAGGACAGCGAAGTTCGATTAAAGATAATCGGGACTCGAGTCGATGCAACTGAAATAGTAATGCCTTTTCTCCATTTAGTATCCTTAAAGATAACTCCATGTTTGTTGGTTGTTGTGAGTTTGATAGAATCTGCTGCGTTTCATTTAACTATTGCTTTCGCTTGCAGTTTTGTATTGGCACCATTAAAGATGACTTCTTGGGTGTCATAAATGACCCTGCGACAGCTTAGAACAATCTTGGTCGGGAATTTCTTCCCTAAGTTACCAGCTTGTTGTACACATTGTTAGTTTACTAATTTTACTGTCTAGTTTCTGCATTTCCTTGACTGTTCTCTGTCGAATGAAACGGATTCGTTTGCCCGTTACTTGGTGTAGCAATATTTGGAATGAGAAACGTATTTATAACGACCTAAGTCCACCGCTAGTAGATATTGTCCTCTTTAGGCTTCTTGTCAAGGTTTTTAAAACGTATCTGCTAAGGAGAGGTTTTCACATCTTTATAAGGAATGTTGTTTCGTTCCCATCTCTAACAGATGTAGGATCTCACAATCCTTTCTCTTTGGGGGTCCAGCGTCCTCGTTGGCACACCACCTAGTGTCTGGCTCTGATACCATTTGTAACGGTTCAAGTCCATCGCTAGTAGATATTGTCCTCTTTGGGCTTGCTAAGGAGAGGTTTCTATACCCTTATAAAAAATGTTTCGTTCTCTCCCCCAACCGATGTGGGAGATCTCACAATCCATCTTCTTTTAGGACCGAACATCCTTGTTGACACTTGTTCTCTTCTCTAATGAATGTGGGACCTTCAATCTGCCCCTTTGGGGTCCAGTGTCCTTGCTGGCACACCGCCTCGTGTCCACCTCTTTCGAGGGCTTAGTCTCCTCGCTGGCACGTTGTCTCGTGTTTAGCTCTAATGCCATTTGCAACAGCCCAATTCCACTACTAGTAGATATTGTCCTCTTTGAGTTTTCCCTTTCGGATTTTCTCTCAAAGTTTTAAAACGTGTCCGCCAAGGAGAGGTTTCCGCACCCTTATAAGGAATGTTTCGTTTCCCTCTTCGAGTGATGTGGGGTCTCGTAGTATATTTGGTCTTTGTGATTTGGAGGAAGGAAGTTAGAATGTTATTCTTGAGGTAATAAAAGAGAGAAGTTCATCCTTATGATTCAGTAAAACTTCATGAAATAGTCCTCGAGTAGAGATGAATTTGAACTTTTTCGAAACTTTAGGGATCAAATTTGTAATCTAATCTCAAACTTTAGTCGTTGCCCAACAGCCCTCTACTTTCCCTCCCCCACCTCAGAACACCCATTGCCACCCCACGCCTCCACGGTCGACACCGCCATCGGCCTCTTCCTCAACACCACTTCGACGAACCCAGTGTCTCTTCGGTTTTTGCAAGACCTGTCCTACCTCGTTGCCTTCCAAAGGACTTTTTCCAAATGGTAGGCGGAGTCGTAAACAAATGATATATCATGTCGAATTCCGCTGTTAATAGACAAACATCAAACTAATGGCGCTGACCGGTGCCGTTGTTGGCTGTGAGATAGCGATGACTATGTGATAGAGAGAGAGACTCGACACAATTTAGAAAAGTTTATTTTTCCCTCGACTAAGACTAAGATCCCTAGACGATAAACAAATCATATCACATCTCAACTGGGAGGGTATAGATATTTTGAGGCTTTGACAGTTTTAATATATTCAATGAAATCTTTAAGTAACATTCGAGTTATGATCAATATTTTTTAAAATTTATTGTCACAAATATTTAATTTTGATGATGGCTTATATTTTAAAATGACGGTTATACTTTAACCTTTTATAAAAATAAAAATAAAAATTATTTTTTAAGAGTATATTTTCAAAATTTAGGAATATTTATGAAATGCAATCATTTTTTAATTTTATTTTTAAAAAATTAAAGAGTGTTTTAGAAAATTTTAAAATATTTAAAAATATTAATAAATTTTTTGAAAATTTATAGATATTTTTTAAAGGTATTAATGGAAAGAATATTTAAAAATATTAATTAATTAAAAGTATTATGGAAATTTTGATAATTTTAAATATATTTTTAAAATAAAAAGTAAAATTTGGAGTATTTTTATTAATTTAAATATAAGCAATTTGATGGAAATAAGAATTTAAGAGTAAAAATTGTTAATTTTACATCAGAAAAAAAAGGGACAAATGAAAAAAAGATCGAATAAACCGATGATGAATTCTTTGTCGTATACACGTTGATGGTGTAAATGGATCTGAGCCGTTGAAAATTTTAGAGATCTTGAGATGACGTCAATGAAATAAGAAGATGAGAGAGAGAGAGAGAGAAAGCTCTTGATCTCGGCTGCAACAGCTTCGTTCTTCTCTCTCGCTCTTGTTTTCAGTTGATACTTTGACAGCTTGGGAACAAAGCTGTAATGGCGAGCAGATACTGGATGGTATCTTTACCTGTTCAAGGCTCCGCCTCTTCCCTATGGAATCGCCTTCAAGAGCAAATCTCCAAGCATTCATTCGATACTCCTCTATACAGAGTACTGATTTCACCGCCAAATCTTCAAATCTGCTTGATTTTCATGATCCTACTTTCTTTTAATGTTTCTGATTTTTCTTTTGTTTAGCTCAATGTTCCTAATCTACGCGTAGGAACGCTGGATTCGCTCCTTTCCCTCAGCGATGATCTTCTCAAGGTATTGCTTTCCTATTTCTGGTTTAAATGTTGTTTATGCGTATTTGAATTTAGTTTGAAGTCTGTTGAATTTTCAAATGCGATTTGATTTGTTCTTAGAATGCTGTTTTTTTAAAAGAATAATAGAATTGGGCCAAAAATCTACGCGATCTTTATGTTTCCAGTTTTTATTATGGTGTTAGAAGTTTCAATATTCATTTCATTGTGCAGTCGAACAGCTTTGTGGAAGGAGTTTCCCAGAAAATCAAACGGCAGATCGAGGAACTAGAGAAAGTTTCTGGTGTGGAGAGCAATGTTTTGACGGTTGATGGAGTCCCCATTGATTCGTATCTTACTAGGTAAAATGGGCGTTTTCTTAAGAAGTGATTTCATTTTGGGAAATTAGGTTCAATTTTGTGGTCACTTGTCTGCATGATGTGATGAATTTTGCTTGGTAATGGAAGGTTTGTGTGGGATGAAGCCAAGTACCCAACAATATCGCCTCTGAGAGACATTGTGGATAACATTCACAGTCAAGTGGCCAAGACTGAGGATGACCTGAAGGTAACGTTTTTTTGTTTGTTTGAGCTGATGCCCAGGTTGAGACGTGGCTATCTTAAGTTGTTGAAACTCTCGTCTAGGCTGTGGAAAATTTTCTTCATAAGATTTCCAAAATCCTATTGTAACATATGGGAAGATTAGAAGAAGTTAATTATCCTCCATTAGGATATCTTCCTTCATTTTTAATAATTTATGACCGTTGTTATTATTTTTGCTTGATGGAGTAGGTATTTGTTTTGCCCTTGGCCATCATGATTGCTGCGAATCATGATCTAATTTATCTTGTTGTTAATTCCGTTCTTTGAATGCATTACTGCCTTCATTTGGTATTCATATCCTACCTACGATATATAATTGTAATATATATATATATATATATATATAAATACAAGCACTAATGGTTAGGTGTTAAAAAATTTTTACTGGTTGTTTTATTGAGAAATAATGGCTTGGAAGAAAGTGGGAGTTGATGGACAAGGTACGAAATCTCAAGTCTTGTACTGTCAAAGTTCAATTTGGCTCCCTCTACCCTGGCCTTAGTCTATTTCTGCTCTTTTTGGAATATATCTTTCGATTGTTTCTTATGTAAAAAAAGTAAATTTTAGGATGTTCTTAAATTTTTTGAACTATCATAATCATATTATAATAATCTTCCTTTCTTTTTATCTAGCCTTATCAGCAAGGCAGTAGCCATTAATAAGACTGTAGCAGACTTTACTAGAACTTGAGATGATGAGCAAGTGCAGACACTTGCATATGCAATTAATTAGGAAACAGAAGTGTCGAAGATTTTGTATTTATATCCTAAGAAGCAAGATAACATGAAAATTAATTTGAGAACATGAACATGAGGAACATGGGAAGATAAGTGTATGACGTAATACTTCACATTAGAACTAGAAATTTAAGATAAGCAATATGACGTAATACTTCATATTCTAGAAATTTAAGATATGAGCATGAGGAAGATAAGTGTATTGGACTATATATTCTGAGCATATGTGAATATTTTCATTCAGTACATTGTTTTTCACATTAGAACTAGGTTTTAACTTTTAATTTGAGAACATGCAATCATTCTGAGTGAGAAATTATTCACAATTTTCTAAAGGTCTCTTCTCTATAGCAAACGTTTTGAAAAATTGTAACCAAACAATAATTTATAAGTTATAAAATATCTTTTGAAAATTAATTTAATCAATGTTAATGTTTTCCACTCTCACAAGTTACTAGTTTTTCTCACATATTTTATAATGTATTTTTCAAGACAACAACAAGTATGAAAATTTAACACTTTTTTTCAATTATCTAATAATTACTAAACAAATGTTCACAGGTGCCTAACATGTGTGTATTATGATTCAACTAGGGTTCAGCATGTTTCTAGCATACCTGACAAGCATCCAACACATGTTTGACTAGTGTTTAAGGGTTAGATATGTGGTCAAATTGAACATATTTTCCAAACTAAAGTGTCAATGCTTCCTAGGTTTTACTGTCACTCCATAACCTAATTTATTGATTTCCTAACTTGCAACATTTTTCTGGTTTTATTATCAATACAGATATTTCTTCTCAATGGCAACTTAATATATGCTATTTTATTTAGTGCTCACCTGAAACTTTCTTAATGTCATGAAATTTCTTTACTGCCCGTGGGTGCTAGACAAACCAAAAATAACTGAAACCTTTTAGGCATTTCCAGTAGAAATTTTCATTGGAAGCTATTTCTATTGCTAGATTCGCGTTGCTGAGTACAATAATGTGCGGAGTCAACTTAATGCCATCAACAGAAAGCAAAGTGGAAGGTATGAATGCTCATAATTGTTACATTTGTATTTAGCATATATGATGTTTCTAATTGATCTTCGTTTCATCAGCTTAGCAGTCCGTGATATTTCCAATCTTGTAAAACCAGAGGACATAATTATCTCAGAACATCTAACAACCCTTCTTGTGGTTGTTCCTAAGTACTCACAGAAGGAGTGGCTATCTAGCTATGAAACACTGACTAGCTATGTGGTAAGTTTATGTTTTTAACTTCTATCTCCCTCTTGTACCACATTTTAATAGGATTATGATTTGCATGGTAAGCTTTCAATGGCTGAGTTAGATTATGTTAGGGTAGGTGAGATGAACTATTGTAGCCTCACAATGTTGAAATGTCTGGGACTGTAATGCTTCT